ATCTTTTAATTCCATAGCTGCAGTCACCATCCACAGTGATTTTGAAGCCCAAGAAAATAAAGTCTGTCACCATTTCCACTTTTTCCCCTTTTATTTGCCATGGAGTGATGGGACCCAATGCCATCATTGTAGTTTTTTTTTAAATGTTGAGTTTTAAGCCATCTTTGTCACTCTGCTCTTTCACCCTCATCAGGAGGCTCTTTACTTCCTCTGTACTTTCTGCCATTAGAGTGGCATCATCTGTGTATCTGAAGTCGTTTATATTTCTCCCGGAAATCTTGATCCCGCTGGTGATTGATTCAGCCCAGCATTTCGCATGATATACTCTGCATAGAAGTTAAACAAACAGGTGACAGTATACAGCCTTGTCATACTCCTTCCCCAGTTTTGAACAAGTTGGTCGTTCCATGTATGGTTCTACCTGTTTGTTCCTGATTTGCATACAGGTTTCTCAGACAGCTAAGGTGCTCTGGTATTCCCATCTCTTTAAGAATGTTCCACAGTCCGTTGTGATCCACACAGTCAAAGACTTTAGCATAGTCAATGAAGCAGAAGTAGATGTTTCTGGAATTCCCTTTCTGTATGATCCAGCAAATGTTTGCAATTTGATTTCTGGTTCCTCTGCCTTTTCTAAACTCAGCTTGTGCACCTGAAAGTTCTCAGTTCACATATTGTTGAAACCTGCTTTGAAGGATTTTGAGCATAACCTTACTAGCATGTGAAATGAGCACAATTGTGCAGTAGTTTGAACATTCTTTGACCTTGCCCTTCTTTGGGATTGGAATGAAAACACTTTTTCCAGTCCTGTCGCCACTGTTAAGTTTTCCAAATTTGCTGGCGTGTTGAGTGTAGCACTTTCTCAGCATCATCTTTTAGGATTTGAAATAGCTCAGTTGGAATTCCATCACCTCCACCAGCTCTCTTCCTAGTGATGCTTCCTAAAGGCCCACTTGACTTCAGTGTAGGACGTCTGGTTCTAGGTGAGTGATCTCACTGTGGTGGTTGTCTGGGTCACTAAGATCTTTTTGTATCTTCTATGTATCCTTGCCACCTCTTGTTAATGTCTTCTGTTTCTGTTAGGTCCACACTGTTTCTTTGTGCCCATCTTTGCATGAAAGCGTCCCTTGGTGTCTGTTAACCGGTTTTCAGGCTGTTGTTACAGGAAACGTCCACAAGGGCGCGGCAGTCCTCCATGCTCCCCTCCAGTTTCTCGGGCAGTCGGAGCCCCAGAGAAAGTTGTGTTCCGGGGCTGTAGATTAGAGTGGAGTGTGCCAGGGCTCAGGTCTTTTGACTTTTTTCCCCTTCTCCTGCACTCCCCCAAATCCCACGACCTCCCTGGGCTGTGCTCCCGAGGGGGCTGGAGTACTGGGGGCGGCAGCTCCAAGGAGGGGAGCTGCTGGTGGGAGCCGCACCAGAGGGGCTTGGAGACCAGGTGACATGTCAGAGCTCCTCCTGCCCAGCGGCTCGACCGTGGTCTGGGTGTTCTAGGCTTGACTGAGCTCTCGGAGAGCCCCCCTAGATCTGGAAATTGGAGTCCCATTCACAGGGGACCAGGGGAGGGGGCTCCTTTGCAGGCACATCTCCCCCATTCCCTCAGCTCCACCCCACTCCTGCCTGGGAAGAGGCTGCTCAGGCTCCAGGAAGGCGACCGCATCCCAGGACACCGGGGCCGGAGGTAACGTTGTTGATGTCTCTTTTTTTTGTCTTTTTTCTTTTTAAATTTAATGTTTATTATGTGCTAGAGTAGAGTTGATTTACCCAGTGGTGGTTTTGGTATTAAGCAGACTGACTCAGTTACATGATACATACACGTATACTTCTTCAGAGTCTTCTCCTATCTAATTCTCAGAGTGTTGTAAAGTACATGTAATATATTACTGTGTACGTGTAAACCCCAGCCTCCTAATGCATGCCGCCCTTCCCCCAACTCACCTTTCCCCTTTGGGTGAGTCTTTGTGTTTGTAAATGAGGTCCTCTGTATGGACTTTCACATTCTACCCCTAAGCGGCGTTGTGGGCTTTCTGTCCTTCTCTGACTTCCTTCACTTAGTGTGAGCATCTCCAGGTCCATCCACGTTGCTGGCGAAGGCATTAGTTCATTCTTTGTTGTGGCTGAAGTAACATTCCGTTACGTGTATGTACTCATATTTATAGTCTGCTGACAGAGAGGCTGCCTCCCTGTCCTACCTGTTGTAAAATGCTGCTGTGAGCATTGGCGTGCATGTATCTTTTCAGATTATGGCATTCTCCAAATATATATATGCCCAGGAGGGGAACTGCTGGATTATATGGTAGTTCTATGTTTAGTTTTTCAATGAACCCCATATTCTGCTCCAAAGTGGCTGTTACTAGTTTACATTCCCACTGACAGTGTAAAAAGGTTCCCTTTCCTCCACACCCTCTTCAACATTTATTGTAGACATTTTGATGATGGCCATTCAGATCAATGTGAGGTGATGCCTTATTGTAGTTCTGATTTGCATTTCTCTGGTAATTACTGATGTTTCATGTGCATCTTGGCCATCTGTATTTCTTCCCCTGAGAAATGTCTATTTAGATCTTCTGCCCCCATTTTTTCTTTTTTGGCTGCTAGGCATATGGGATCTTCTCTGACCAGGGGTCAGAGGCTTGCCCCTACATTGAGAGCACAGAGTCCTAACCACTGACCCCCAGGGAAATTCTGCCGGTTTTGTGGTTGGGTAGTTTGGTTTTTGACAGAGTTTCAAGAGCTGTTTGTGTGCTGTGGAGATTAACCCCTTGTAGGTTGCTTTGTTTGCAAATGTCTCCCATTCTATGGGTTGTCTTTTCGTTCTGTGGTTCATTTGCTGTGAAGGAGCTTTTAATTAACTCCTGTTTATTTTTTACTCTAGGAGGTCATCAAAAAAAACATTGCTGTGATTTATGTCAGAGAGTATTCTTTGTTTTCCTACATTCAGGTCTTTGATCCATTTCAAGTTTTGTGTATGGTGTTTGGGAATGTTCCAATTTGATCCTGTCACATGGAGCTGTCCAGCACCACTTACTGAAGATGGTCTTTTCTCCGTTGTATATGCTTGCCTCCTTTGTCATAGATTAATTGGTCATAGGTGTCTGTTTATTTCTGGACTTGCTTCTGTGTTCCATTGATCTGTCTTTCTGTGTCTGTAGCATACTGCTGACTACCAGCCTTGTAGTACAACTGGTACATTTCTTGCACTAAAGTCCAGGTTATTGCCATTTCTTTGCAGTGGTTCATTGTATTTTCCTGTGAGTAGCATTTCCATGCGTGTGTATCACATCTGCTTACCTGCTCACCTGCAAGGGGGGTGCAGGCAGAGCAGCCCTTGTGCACCCCGGGACAGCGAGACCGGGCTTGGGACCGCCCTCCACTCCCCAGGCATTTTAAATGCGAAGGAGAGAGAGATGAAGCTTTTGACAAGTTATCATTTGTATCATTTACCATCTGCTCCTGTATAGTGAGATATGTCCCATTTATTTGGCTTTGTAATAAGCTTTTTTGCTTTGCTAAGTATTCATAGACTGTGTACTTTGAAATATTTTATTTGAAAGAGGAAATAACATCCTTTTCTAGGTAAAACCTAGTTTTCAGAAGTTTACAAATAAACCGAGCTGAGAAAGTCTTAATGTCCAAATTCATATTATAAATTACACAGAACTGTTCCAGAATCATTTTAAGATAGTTATATATCCTCCCAGAACTGTTATTATGTACTTTAAAAATTGGAAAATAACAGTCACCCCAAAACCCCGAGGTTTTCTGTATACGTGGAAAATTTTCAAACGCATGAAGAAGAAAGAGGCGCTCTATCCTTGGCCTGCCTGGGCTCTTTCTCTTGAGGCAACTGCTGAGCTCAGGTTCCAAGGGCCTTTGTGTCCAGAGACACAGACACGAAGCACTGTGAGATATATGTAGATGTATTTTGCATGCAGGTTTCTAAGTAGCTTTTTAGGGTTTTTAAGTAGCTTTTTTCCTAAAATATAATGAATATTTCTTCTCGTCTCCATACAAATAGCTGGGCATTGGGTCAGTAAGTGTTGGTAAGTGACTCTTACGCGTTGGACGCTGTATACGTAGTGGCTGATCTAATAGGTGGACCTCCTTGGAACTGCCAGTTAACCTTTTTTCAGCACCTTAGTACATCAGTGTATTGAATTCTGTATTTTCTCCAGCTGTGCCTTATCCTTTGTTAGGCCTTTCAGTGGCTAACTACCTAGGCGCGGTCATTGCCCTTATCTCTAGCTGTATTCTGTCATCAAGTACAATGGATGGCAGGGATTTCCAAATGTGAGTCTCCAGCCCCAAACCTGCCAGCGACCCCCAGACCCAAGCCTTGGGATCTTTAACTTGGATATCTAATAAGAGAATCCATCTCCGCCTCGCCAAAGTGTAACGTTTGAACCCCTCCCCACCCCACCCAAAAACTCAAAAAAAGGAGAAATTCTCCAAGGATTTTGATCTAGTCTAGCCAGAAATAAGTATACGCTTGGCTTTCTTCCTTGCTCACCTTCCCTGTCTGCATAGCTGTCCCCCTGCCACCCTCTGAACCCGCCCTCCTTTCTGGTCCAGGGCTGAGCCAGTCTGTGTTGCTCTGAGCCTCCTGCTCTCGGCGCGGCTGGTTCCTCAGAGAGCACTTCCCTGTCCACTCAAGTCTCGGGGAGGGCCTCCTGCTCACTACTCAGGTCACAGTTTTATTTTCACAGAGCTTATTATTCTAGGAGCCTACCTTGTTCATTCATTTCTCTCTTCTTCCCTTTGGAAATTGAGTTGCTGTGGCAGCAGAGATCTTATCTTGTGGTTTCCTATCATATCCTCATTACTTAGAACAGTAATAGGTACTATTATTCAGGAAAATGATTGTACTTCTGTGGATTGCTCATTAATATTCTGTGTACACTTTATAGATCAAGGCTATTAATTTTTATCATGTTATAAATCCGCCCTCCAGTTTATCAGTTTACCCAAAGAGAGGTTGTCATAATGTGTCATCTTCTTCCTTGCAGCTGTTGTGGAACAGGAAATGAAAAAGGACTGGCTTTTCGCACCTCATTATCGGTACTACGTGCGAGAGATGCGAATCCACGCGTACAGTCAGCTGCTGGAGTCCTACCGGTCGCTAACCCTGGGCTACATGGCAGAATAATCAGACGGTGCAGAGAGATGCATCGCTGCAGCCTCGTGGGAGGCAGGCAGGTGTATAGGTGTGTGGGGTCTGGGGTAAGTAACAAGGTGTGTCTTCACACACCGAGGGGGCGGGGGTGGGGAAGTGGGGCGCCGTGGATGTCCAGAGGGCCTCTTGCTAGAAGCGGTCCCCGAAGCCTCGACTGTTGGCTCTGAGGATTAGTCTGCAGTGGCTCCGAGTGCTTATGTGGTAGTTTCTGAGGAACTTCTCATGCACTTCAGTTTTGAAAGACCATACTCTGTTTAGCCATTTTGTTTTTTCTAATGTTTTATTACGAAAAATTTCAAACATGGAGAAATTGTAAAGAGTTATTCTTGATTTTATCATCACAGTATTTGCTTTACCTTATTTTTAAAGACTTCAGAGAAAGTTACAGACATCAGTACGTTTCATCCGCAGTCACCTTAGCATGCACATGAATATTTCTTCATGGGTTGGTTTACAGTAATATTTACAATCAGTAAAACACACGAAATATAACCAAATTATGGAGCCAGAAGTTTCCTCATTCTCTTCCTTTGAAAGAAAAAAGGCAGAGAGTAGTTTATTCTCCATGGCAAAGTAGAAGGCTGGACGCTCCAGGGAGGTTTGCTTTCCTTGGCGAGAGGAAGTCTGGCGGTGGGGGCACTGGAGTTGTTCCTCATGGGGTCGTATGTGGAGGTGCTCACTGTGGTGAGCAGCGCATGAGAAGAGGGGGTTGGTCTGGCTGCTTTTGCTGTTTCTTAATTTAACAGTGTGGTGGTGGTGATAAGGCTGTTGCTCCTTGGGAGCAGGGTGAGGCTCAGTCAAACCTGTGGATAAGGCGCACTGAAGTAGGAAGTATTGTTAGACACACGGCAGCATGCCACTGGTGTTTGAATTATTGAGTTTTTCCCTTCATGTTCGCAGCCCAGCTTTAGAGGCGGACGTTTCAAGCACACAGTGAGATGTGTTGTTGCCTAGAAAGGCCTTGCTGTAAGTTTGTTTCCTACCTTATGAGTTTTGGTGAAATCTTTCTTAAGTTTAAAGAACACTTGTACTTCGGTTTTCCGTTTCCTTGGACTCAGTAAGATAATGGTGGAGAAAAGGACCGAGCCATTATTTGAACAGACACAACTGTTACTGACATGTAAGGTTAGAAACCACACCCGTGGACTATACTGCATAGTTTTGTTTGGAACTTGGGATGCAACTCTGGTTTTTAGGTTCTGTTTACACAGCAAATGTCTGGCTCATTCTTACCGGACAACTGTATATGAGGCACCATCTGGGTGGCTTGGAAAAGATGAGCCGTCTTGGGGTATGTTTGATTAGCACATAGGGAGATGACAAAAACGTAGTTTGGATCTAGGGAATGGGAGTTAGGCACCCATTGAGGGCAGTAAGTAGTTAAACTTCCTCAGTGTAATCAGAAAGGAGGCTGTGCTGAGATGCCTCTGGGTGCACTGAGTTTAGAATCAGCATAACCGACCCCAGAGGGCTTTCTGGGGCCTTGAGAGCGGTGTGATTGCATGTTTTAAGATTTTTATAGGATGAAAGAGGACACTTAAGATGGAAGGAGTAGCCCAGGCGGATTGGAGAGTGCACCAGCCTCGCTTACTGGAGGGGGGTATGGTGGTGTGCACAGCCGCAGCGATGAGCAGGGACAGATGACCTTGGTGGATCTGAAGGTCAAGTCTGGCGTCTGCTCCCGAGAGTCTAGGCAGTAAACGAAGGGCAGACTGGTCCGGTGTGAGTGGGCAGGGGAAGCAGCAGTTACCCCGCAGGTCTTAGCTCAGCAGAGTCTGAGTCTGCTTTCAGGCCCGGGGCAGTGCTGCTGTCTACATCTTGTTCCTAGCTTTCTCTTTAGGAGTTTCTCCAGCTCTCCTGTGGATCTTAGTAGGACTCACAAGGCTGGGGGTGTCTGCTTGTGTAGTTTGCCTTGTGGACCTCAGTCTCAGAAAAATAAGTGCAGATGGGTTTCGCAGCTGCAGTTTGGAGAAGCAACTATCTGAGTACCTGGAAAGTGAACACAAGTGAGTTTAAAACCAGTGAGCTTTAAAAAAATTTTTACACTTTACCTAAAGCCACTCAGTAACATAATTCAAAAACTAACAGTTGAAACAATGGCTGTTGTAGTGATTGAATCAAATATGTTTTTAATGAGTGTGGAAATAGAGCACGCTCTGTAAACATCTTCAGTTAGTAAGAACTGTATAACTTCTAGCTTTAGAGAGCCACTAGCATATGTTTTCTTCCTTACCTGGTTTCTGGGATTTGTGGGAATTAAGTTGCCTTCACATCATTCTCAGCCTCCTTTACCCAGGAACTTGAATGACACTTTGGGTGTTTATGTGCTAGGAGCAAAATGGTGTGGTACCTGGGAGAGTCATCTGTCACAATTTTTCTTAATTAGTAGGACTCTTAAATTCAACCTAGTTCTATTACAAATAGCTATTTTAAAGGAGTCAACTTTCCACATATTCTCTCTGGTATCACTGTGCAGCTCTGGTAGATGCCTAAGGATTTCATTCTCCCCCACGTCACAGGGCAGTGACTTAGGGAGTCAGCTCAACTGCTGAACATCCAAATGTTACCTTGAAAGACAACTGACTCATGTATTTAGTGCAATTCATTTTTCTGAGAATTTTCTATAAGGCTAATGCTAAATGCTTTCCCCTTCTCTTTCAATTAGGGAACTCTCCAGGTTTATTGCTGCTGGGAGGCTACACTGCAAAATAGATAAAGTGAATGAAATAGTGGAAACCAACAGGTACTCTTAAGTTTCTGTATCATTTGTAATACTTATAACAACGGGCATTCTTTAAAAAGAGTGCCTTCTTTTTAAAGTAGGTCAGCTATTGTTTCAGAGTAATGTGACTGCTAACTAATTCATGTTTTCCCTGAATTTATTTATAGACCTGATAGCAAGAACTGGCAGTACCAAGAAACTATCAAGAAAGGAGATCTGCTATTAAACAGAGTTCAGAAACTTTCTAGAGTAATTAATATGTAAAACCAAATACACAAAGGATTTTCTTTAAACAACATTATTGGGAATTTTTATAGCTTACTTTGTGCCCAGTTGAACTGTGTAAAAAATAAATAGTGCATTGTTTCTTTCAACTTACTTTTTTCTTACACATATACAGCGTTAAGGAAGGGATCCAGTAATGTCACATTTACATCATTTGAATCTTTGGTTTATGGTATAATACTTACAGAGACTATTTGCATTCAAATCCTGACTCTTCAATAAAACAAAGGTAAGAGATGACATTAAAACGTACAGGCAAAGGGAATCTTTTTTCCCAGTTATGAACTTAGTGAATCACATGGGGTTAAGTGCTATGGAAAAAGAAACCTAAAACCCGGTAAAGGTGGCCGTGAAATGAGTAGGGTGTGAAGTGCTCTCTGCTATCAAGTGTCACAGAAGCCTCTCCAGAGGTGATTTTAAATAAAAAGGAAGGAGAGACTTCCAGCAGAAGCCTGGCCACCGCAGAAACCTGTGCAAAAAGCTGGATTTGCTCACTGGGACCACCCAGGCTTGCTGAAGGGTCATCGTGACAAGAGCAGTTTTGCTAGAGCGACAGAATCAAAATGGCATTTTACTGTAAAAGCAAGAGAGAAGCATGAGGTTTTCTGTCTTTTTCTGAAGAGAGCATATGTACATGCTGATGGGAATGATTTAACAACATTCTAGAAAAGACATGATCTCAATGGATGTACAGTCTGTTGAAAACACTCTGAAACAGTTCAACAGTCATTCTTAGAAGTCACCACAGTGGAGGAGAGGCCGCTGAGGGAGAGGCTACTAAAAAGCTTACCAACTTTGATCACTAATTTCTTAAAGAAACCGGAAATGTTAAGTGCCCTTGGCAAAATCCACAGCTATAGGAATCAGTGCTGTCCATTAAGTCCAACACAAGGCGTCGCTCACTGTGTTCCTTCTGTAGAAATCTGTTTTCAGCCAGTCACCTCATTGCAGTTCATGCTAGAAGGGAAAAGTACCATTAAAATGTCAGTTTCTTAAAATAACTTTCCCTCAACTACCCGCTATAAAACCACCTAGACTGAAGTGACCACAGAGCAAACCATTTCAACTGAAATGTAGGCTGGATGTTGCCTTTTTTTTAAAAACCATTTTAACTCTACCATCTAAAATTAGAGGAGGTAACAGGTAAGAGACACTAAATAAAAAAGAAATGCTATTCATTCCCACTGCAAGATGGGGAAGCTGAAAACCAAGCCTGCAGATAAACGTCTAGGGAACTTGCCTTATGATGCGCAAGCAGTACAATTATGATGTGAGGGAATCCAGGTTTTCAAGGCCGTACAGTATAAGACAGATAGCCCTGAGCACTGCGACTAGAAAATCTCTTCATGCTGGTATCCGATGCTGAAAGAAAAGACTTCTTTCAGCCTATTTCTATGGTTGTACACTGCACTAGAAAATCAAGCTTATTATAAAGTTCATTTAGATAAAAACATCACAAACTGTAAAACAGCATAGTCAACAACATGTATTTCTTGGTGCATTACTACAAGTGTTAGTACAAGCCTACTGTCACACAGTTGCCTGGGCCACTTACGCCACATTTTATACTCCAAACTGAGAATTTTTTGATTTCATTGATGTTTTTCACTTATGTTTATTATATACTATGACTACATAGAATGATGATTTTGAGCCTTGCTTCTCTGATTTTTGACCAGTGAGAGCTGTTTTAAATTTGATGGAAGACTCAGAAACCCAAAGCAACTCATGATGCCAAAGGAGGCTTCCAGAAGCTTCCAGCTTGCAGACTGGTCAACTACAGGCTACAACTGTCACCAACTCCCTCCCCCCACCCAGTACATTTTTGGGAAAAAAAATGTATGGTTGCCATCTAAAATTAAAAGAATTCAAAATCACTTATCTAGCTTTGCTGTAATACAGATCAGGTCAGTGCTGCGCTCCCGTTCCCAGTCCAGACAGACGGCTGCATCTGCTCCAGCGGGCCCGGTCCTGCCGTGTTAGATTCTGCTTCCTACCTGGTCCCGTGGCTGTTGGGAGCTTCCTGTCCAGGCCATACATCTATCTACTGTATACCTGGGGCTGACGGTAGGCAGATTCTGTTAGTCTAGGAGAAGCCATTCAAAGAATTAAGGTCTTAATTTTGGTATTTTACTCATGAAGGGTACACATCCCAATACAAAAATAAGACTATCATCAAAAACAGTTGTGTTTAGTCCCTTTTAAATATTGGTAAGCTTTTTTCCTTTTGGTCAAAGTTTTTAATCAAACCTGGAAACTTCTCACTTTTATAAACCATAATCTCATTTTTTTTTTATTAGTTGGAGGCTAATTACTTTACAATATTGTGGTGGTTTTTGTCATACATTGACATGAATTAGCCATGGATTTACATGCATTTATGTCTTTAAATTGTTTAAGTCATAGTGAGCTAGTTTGATTCATCATAGAAACAATCTCATTTATTATGCACTCTTCAAGTACAAAGTGCATCACTGGGGTGAACAATCTTGGGAATATTTAACTTTCAAAATATTTATTACAAAATGGAGTCTTAAAGGAAAGCAAATAAACATCAAAATGACATGACACAAATCTGGACTTCTGAATACACTGCAGACTTTGTGTTGGAGCATCCAGTTCCAGTGACAGTCAGTCACTGAGTAGTCTTACCACAAAACAGTAAAATTTAATCTTCCATACAACAGCATAGAAGATTTTGGCATCAGACTTTTTACTACTAGTCTTTTAGGAAAGGAAATGCCGCCAAAAACTATGTTACTAAGTTTCTGGTGAAACTATTTGCGTGGCAGGAATAGAGATGCAGAGGTAGAGAAGATGCTTGTGAAAGAGGAGGATGGAACGAACTGAGACAGTAGCACTGACACAGCTCTACCAGGCACGGCGGGGAGCTCAGCTCGGGGACTTCCGAGACGGAGGGAGGGGATGTGCGTGCTCACAGCAAAAACCAACACAGCACTGCAGCAACAGCACTCCAATAAAGTGTTAAAAAAGCAAAAAACACGATTTAAAAAGGAGGACAAACCTTGACATTTCTCAAAAGGAAAAATGAATGGAGGACAAAAAAGACTATTCCTATTAGACTAATACAGATGAAAATACTGAGGTGTCACCTCATGCCAATCAGAAGGGGTATCATTAAAAAATCTACAGTCAAGCCAAAGAGAGGGCATGGAGAGAAAGAAATGCTGCTACGTGTTTTCAGCAAATGTAACCCGCTAACAAAAGAAAAAAAAAAACCGTATGGAGATTCTTAAACTAAAAATAGGTCTACCACATAATCTGGCCTTCTCTCTCCTGGTTTCTCTTGAGTCTCTCCAAGTTAACAAATGTAGTTACAAGTGACACCTACACCCCAACATTCACTGCAGCAATATTTATCACCAGCCACCTCTGCAAGCCCCCCCAGAGTTCATGGTCAGAGATGTACAGATAAACGTGGTAAAGATAAGTGTGTATACAACATGTACACACACACACAATATATACACACTGGAATATGACCTACCAATCAACAAGCATGCAAAGTGCCTTTTCCAATGACATGAATGATCGTAAGTGACCATCCTGTGGTGGTGATCTCCTTTAGGTACAGAAGTCAGACAGAGGGACCAACACCTTATGAGATCTCCTATGTGCAGGAACCTAAAAACTGGAACCAGTGAGCACATTTACAAACTGAGTTTTCTAAATTACAAGGTTGGGATTAACATAAGCACAGTCTTACACAGAATATGTGGCGTTCCCATGGATAGTCTTCTAAGCATCTCCCCACCTAACAAAGCATCGCCAGCATCGCCCTTCAGGTAGCCTTCGAATCTGGGTTTGGGGTGCAGGATAAGGGGAAAGATGAGACAAGCCCTGGCGCACTGCACTCTTAACAGGTGCAACTTCTGGAGGGATCCAGTCGCCAAAAACAAGAGCAGGGCCTGAGGGGATGCCGCCTTGTGGACACTTCTGTAACAGCAACAAAACTGCATGCACCTCAAAGTGTCCATTTTCAGATGAGTGGATAAACACGGTAAACAATCACACACATAAATGCATATACACACATGCATAAACAAATATTCCCTGGAATAACACATAGAAATCAAAAGGCATGAAAACTGTCTTTTCCAGCAACAACGGATATACTGATGAATATCCTAAGGCAGGCAGGCAGAGAGGACCAACAACCTAAAAAAACTGTATTTGGTACCTAAATGTTGACATCAATGAATACATTTCTCAACTGAGTTTTGTAAATTAGGAACTTGGGATTCACAGAGGGACGGTCATACATATGTACAATAAATAATCCACAAAGACCAAGCATACAGCACAGGCCATTCTGCTCAGCAGCCTTTAACTACCTTCAGCGCAAGACAATTCCAAGAGGAATACATATATGCGGAAATGAATCACACGGCTGTATACCCAAAACAAATGCACACTGGAAATGAACTGTATCCACCACACAAGAAAAAATTAACTTTCAAAAGAAACCAAATGTGAAGAGTATTCCTCTCAGGCCTGGGATCCTTGGACTACTGTCACACCCCAGGAACCTGAGCACCCTTGGGACTCAAGCCCAGACCGAGCTGAATTGAAGAAACGGGAGGATGTACCGAAAACACGCCCTCCTTGGATCTAGAGTGCCTGGACCACAGGGGATGGGACCCCACTCCCCACTGCAGGCAGGCTGTCCCACAGCTCAACCAAGCCTCGTAGGCCCCCCAAAAAAGTGGACCCTCCAGGCTGAGAGCTCTGAACAGACACCTAGTCTCCAGTCTCTCTGAGGCGGGTTCCCACCACAACCTCCTACCTCCACATCTTCCCACCCGACTACCACGGCATCCCCAGGATCGCCTTCGTTGTTGGCTTGTGCAGATAACAGGGAAGATTAAGGAGAACCCAAGACCTGGCACATGCCACTCTCACCTACAACCCAGGAACACAACTTTTCTCTACGGCTCTGGATGCCAGGAAAACCTCCTGTGGGCCTGAGAAAGTGCTGCCGCCTTGTGGACACTGCTAGTAACAGCACCTTAAAAATCGCTGCTTGGGAGCACTTCCGATTCACAAGCCTGTGGGGCTGCAGGGACAC